ACCCCCAGTCTGTAAGTTGACTGCAGGCTTCAGCCTGTTTGCTCAGGGCTCCTTCTGAATTAACTAAAGCCTGTGCTGTGCTGAGCTGTCTCCCTGCCTATCCCATCCTATGTCTCTTTATTCTAACGTGGGTAACTATGCAGGGACATGGGGGAGACAAGGGACAATTGGGATGCCCTACAAAAGAAACAGTCAAAAGTTACACTTAGAGACCCCAGAAGATTGGGAGAGATGGGGAGATGTAGGGAGATCAGAGCAGGAGATGCTGCGGAGAACAGGAAGTGCTCTGGAAAGAACAGGAAGTAATATGGAGAGAGAAGAGAAGACACCAGAGAGGGAGAAATAGGCAGAGACAGAGCCAAGAGAATTTGCTCGTTTATTCAGGTGTGTGGACTCTGCGCGATTGTCCCAAGCTGGGACCAGGGGTGAGTCCAAGTAAGCTTAGAGAGGGAGAGAGGTGGGGACAATCAAGGAGGTTGAGGGTGGGGGGAGCTCAGAGGAGGAGGAACCAGGGAAGCAGGGAAGCAGGCACTCTTTACTGTGAGAGCCCAAAATAGATCTCCTCATCCTGGGGCCTCATCCTATTGTTTTTTCAGGATAACTCCACCCTCCCCGCATGGTGGGGGAGGACCAGGGCTTTGCAGCATGCACTGTACACTGAGCTGCAACCCCAGTTTTTTTGTTTTTTTGGGTTTTTTTGCAGTATTTTTAGGCCATTTACCATTCCTCGAAGGCACGCCTCTGAGGTTCTTGAGACTCAGCTGTGAGAGGTCCTAAGAGCTTAGAAACCCTGCTTCCTCCTTCCCAGCTGAGTGACTTTGGCCTGAAACATTCTTTTCTGAGTTTCAGTTTCTCTCTTCTATAACTGAGGTTGAAAACTGTTCCTCCTTTGTAAAGGTCAGGTGAGTTCAGCCGGAGAGTTTGGAAAGCACCTGGCTCAGAATAGGCTCTCAAGTGGAAGGCCACCATCGTGGTGCCACCCCTTCTCCCTGGCCCCCTCACCACTTCAATTCATCTCTAGGCCCCATAGAGGTAACATCTCCACTCAGGCCTCTTTTGTCATCCTTACGTCCTCTCTGTCCCAGTCACAGGCACACACACACCTGTAATCCTAGCACTCGGGGAGGCAGAAACAGAGGATCTCATGTTTGCGGCCAGTCTGACTACATAGCAACACCTTTGTCTAAAAATAAATGAAAAAATAAAGAACATAAAATAAATTGCTGGACTCCAGGGCCAGGCTGCAGAGGTTCAAATCCTGCGCTCTGCTACTTCCAGGCTCACGCCTCACTGTGCAACCTGGGGCACATAAACTTCTCTCTGTGCCTCATTTTCCTCTCCTGTACAACAAGGATCTGACTACTCACCACGAACTTGCTAACTTGCTCTGGGAATTAAAAACTAATGTATAGAAGTCAATGTTCTGTCATATCACAATGGCTTGATAAATGCTAGCAATTAATACTGTAATTAATATGAAACCGGCCTCACTGGGTTTCTGGATTCCATATCCACCTTATGACACATTTGGCAACCAGAGGGAGCTCCATCATAACATGTCAGGGAGCAAAAGAGACCATTGTGGGCCAAGTTTTAATCCCTGATTCAACACAGCAAGGATGATGAAAAGGTACTTACCGGATATGGTAATCATTTAAATAACGTTGACCATGAGTGACCTTGCCTCCTTCCTTCTCTTTCTTTCTTGTCCTAGGGGTTTGAATTCAGGGCCTCTCCCTTGCTAGGCAGGCACTCTACCATTTAAGCCACTCCGCCAGCCCCTCCAACCCTTTTTAGCTTTAATTATTTTTCAGATACACTTACCTTAAAAATGTAAGGCTCTGAGTTCAAACCCCAGTACCCTCCCCTGCCCCCTCCAAAAAAGGGTGGCAGGGCATGGTGACACACACCTGAAATCTCAGCACTCAGGAGGCCAAGCAGGAGGATGGAGAGTTCCAGGTTGGCATAGTGAAACAGTCTCCCGATCCTAGCTCATGACACTTCCTGTGGTTAACTGACCCACTATTTTTTTTTCTCTTTGTGGTGCTGGGGATGGAACCCAGTATCTCCTGCATGAGTTACATCCCCAGGCCTACTTCCTGTGTTTAAAACCTTCCCCTGGTTTCTCGCTCTGCTCCAGCACCTTCCCAAGCTTCTTCACCTTGGGCTGCTACATCTCCCCACCTTTTTATCTTCCCATGACAGAGGGCATCTTGCTGTTAATTCTCTCAGGTGTCCATTCAACACAGGTAAGTTGTCCATATTTTTTTTTGTGTGTGTGTGGTACTGAGGCTTGAACTCAGAGCTACACCTTGAGCCACTCCACCAGCCTTTTTCATGATTTTTTTTTTTTGAGATAGGATCTCATGAACTATTTGCCCAGGCTGGCCTCAAACTGAGATTTTCCTGAGCTCTGCCTCCTGAGTAGCCAGTGTCCTGCTTAAATGTTCTTCTTAACCCAGCACACATTCTAGAAGACAGTTGTATATTTATAGGGGGATGGAGAGAAGAGTGGCCAGGGAAGCCTTCTGCTATGGTAACATTTCAGCTGAGGCCTGAAGGTAGGGAGTCCAGCAAGCAAAGAAATGGAAGAAGGACCTGGTAAAGAAGGAATAGCTAGTGCAAAGGTCCTGAGGTAGGACTGAAATCGTATTGCAAGAACTGGAAGGAAGGGTCTGATAGGATATGTAGTAGACATCCCTTGGGCAGTACAGTCCTTTCCATACTTAGGACTTTCACCTTGAGCCACTCCACCAGCCCTTTTTTGTGAAGGGTTTTTTTTTTTCCCCAACATAGGGTCTCAAGAACTATTTCCTCAGCTGGCTTTGATCCTCGATCCTCCTGATCTCTGCTCCTGAGTAGCCGGGATTACAGGTGTGAGCCACCTGTGCCCAGTGGTCCCTTTCCTCTTGAAGTCTGTTCTCGTTGCTGTTCCTGTGACAACTTGACCCATCAGGTCTACGTTAATACTTAATAAAAACAAAAAACACTGATGGCATTTATTGAGCTCTCTAGAACTTTCTATTGCAAACACACTGGTTATCTTATTTAATTTCAAGAGCCTTCCCTTTTACAGATGAGGAAACTGGGGCGCAGAAAGATGAAGTGACTCACTGAAAGTCACACATCTAGAACATGGTAGAGATGACTCCAAACCAGTTATTCCAGTGATCTGGCTCCAGAACCCAAATAAACCCCGCCAAATAACTCTGGCGGCTGGAGACCCACCCAGGCAGACAACTTTTATGAGCACTTCACGGTCATTCCGGCACTAGGCAGGACTTTGCACCTTGCACCTTGCACCTTCAATGTCTGGGAAGAATGCCGGGCAGTGGTGCCACCTTGGCCTTGACACCTCGGAAGTACCCAGGCCCGGGAGAGGGAGTCAAGCATGGGACACAGGGTGTGAGCTGAGAACGTTAAGTCACCCCATGGTGAAGGGTGCCGGGGCGTTATGCCAATAACGTGCCTTTTATTGGGTACCAGCCTGCCCCCACCCTCACTCTAAATGGATCAGACTTTTCTTTCTGCAAACGCCTCCAGGGATGCGATGGGCAGCAAGCTTTTCCTTCTTTGGTTTTTTTTTTTTTAGGTGCCTCTAAAGATGGATCTCAAGGCTTCCCGTGGAATTCTGGACAAGAAAGAGGGACATTTAAAAAGAGGGGTGCACATGCTGGGAGCTGTCCGCGGATTTCCAGGCGCAGTTAGTCCACGTTTGTCCCGCACTTGCTTGACTCCAGACTCCAGCCAGCCACCGTAGGCCCCCACAGTCCGTGCAGCATCGTGCTTGTCCATGGACCTGCCCACCAGGCTCGCCCACCCTCCTTCCAAAGCCCGCTTCCCCGCAGCCGCCTCCGCTGGCCGGGGTGCGCATGCGTGCCGACGCCCCTCCGATCGGCGTGGGAGGAGGGGATGGAGTGAGGCTGGGCCTGCGCTCGCCCAGCTCCCCACTCCCACCTTCTCCTCCCCGTCGCCACGCGCGCTGGACCGTGCGGTGCAGTTCCGCACGTCGGAGGCCAGCACAGCAGAGCAGCAGCAGCCGCGGGGCGGTGGCCGCCGAGGCGGGAGGGGCCCGGAGCCCCGCCCCCAGGGAGGGGCCGTCCTGCAGCAGGTGAGGAGAGCGGGGTCTTGGCACCCCACGCCTGGGTCCACGGGACATGTTAGATGCCGGGATCTCCCGGAGGGGGATCGATTTGGTTCCGGATGCCTCGGTTCCGGAGGAAGTAGGCATTTGTACCCGAAATCCTCCATTCGAAGGGGTGGATTGAGTCTCGGAGGCTGGGGACCCGCGAGGGAAAAGTGCATTGAGGGGGTGTCTCTGGATTGCTACACATGCCGCGTTCCTTCCGTATCTTCCTGCAGGTCTCCCTTTTATCTACCACTAAGCCCTGCTCCACTCCAGAAGAAGGACATGGTTGACGCGGCATCCATGGACTGAGACTAAGCCAAAAAGCCGGGTAAGCCATCTCTTCCACGTGAACCCCCGCCCACTGCACTCACAGGCCCCGCCCCTGGGACGAGGCAAAGGGCCCGCCCACTCCGCTCGAAGGCCCGCCCTGGCCATATGTTGCAAAGCAACTGACTTTGGTCTGTTTTGCATAGCCCCGCCCATCCCTTTAGTGGTGGTAGGGAAGGTTCCGCCCATTTTGAGCATCGGCCCCCCACCCGTGCTCCGACCGCCCCTGAACTCTTGCAGAGGCCGCTCTACTCCACCCAAGGCTTCAGCCTCAGCTGTAAACTGCACAGGGACCAACTCTTCGTCAGATTTGCATAGCCCCGCCCATTGTGCGCTTAGGCTCCACCTTCCCGCCACGCCTGCCCTCGCCTTGGATCCCAGACTTATGTAGACCCTGGTCCTAAACAGACTGACCTCTGGTTTTAGGCCCTCCAACCCTATGCCCATCAACTTGGTAATCAACGGCCTCATCCCCGCCCCCTCCCTGTCCTTAGGTTTCTGTGCCAGAAAGATGCTGGAGCGAGGTTTGAAGTCCGAGGCCGGGGACGCAGATACTAGTCCCAATGGCAAGAGCTCAGTAACCAGAGGAGGAGGTGAGAGCAGCCCCGCCTGTGAGTAGGGATCATTCCCCAGGAACAAGGGCTAAGGGAATCACATTTGGAGGGATCTTAGGGTGAAAGTTGGAAGGCCCAGGATTATGATCATTTGGGATCCTCCAAAATGTGTCGTTCTTGGGAATATTCACGTGTGGCTTTGAGAGACCCTCCGTGATCACAGGAAATTACAGTAGGCACAAGGGAATAACGTGGGATTGCAGGGTGATCACTGAAAGGATACTAGAAATGGATCCCTTAGTAGCTCTGGGGAAGCCTTAACAGCTTTGGGGACCCAGGAAAGCAACCCTTCGGACGATGTATGAGGAAGAAGGGAAACAGAAACGAGCCATTTGGGGAATCAGTGTGATACTTAATGTGCCCAGATACACTGTGAGGGCTCCCTCAAATATCAAGAGTTGGCAGAACCCGCCTGGGCCCAGGACGTTGGCTGCCTCCTGGAGCCCACCAGCCCTCCTGTCCCCCAGCTCCCCACCAGGGCCCGCCGCAGACGCTCAGCCACTCGCCTCCCGGGCCCGCCGCGTCTGGGGGAGCTCCTTCCCGGCCCCGCCGGCGCCCCCCGCCCCAGCGCCCGCACCGCTGTCCTGACTGTGACAAGGCCTTCTCGTACCCATCCAAGCTGGCCACGCACCGGTTAGCGCACGGCGGCACCCGACCTCACCCGTGCCCCGACTGCCCCAAGGCCTTCTCGTACCCGTCCAAGCTGGCAGCACACCGCCTCACGCACAGCGGCGCCCGCCCGCACTCATGTCCGCACTGCCCGAAGGCCTTTGGCCACCGCTCCAAGCTGGCGGCCCACCTCTGGACCCACGCGCCCGCCCGCCCCCACCCGTGCCCCGACTGCCCCAAGTCCTTCTGCTACCCCTCCAAGCTGGCGGCCCATCGCCACACGCACCACGCCACCGACGCCCGCCCCTATCCTTGCCCGCATTGCCCCAAAGCTTTCTCATTTCCCTCCAAACTGGCTGCCCATCGCCTGTGTCACGACCCTCCCACCGCGCCGGGCAGCCAGGCCACCGGCCGGCACCGATGCGCCAGCTGCGGCCAGGCCTTTGGCCAGAGACGTCTCCTGCTTGTCCATCAACGCGGCCACCACCAGGCGGAGAGCCAGGGAGAGAGAGAGTGAACCCGCCCACAGGCTCACGGGCGCCCTCTGCCGCCAGCTCTGGTCAATAAAGAGGTGGCATTTCTAAACCCGGTTGTATGAATGGATTCGCCCTCTCCAGATAGCTGGGTGGGAGAGGGATCGGCCATTTGTACGGGGCTGGAGTTTAGAAGGCTGAGGAACTCCGCTCACCTGGAAGGGTGGGCGTCAAGCACAGAGTTAGCACTGGGTCCCACACCATGGACCTCGCGATGTGGTTTTGATGGGCCTGGCCCTGCCCACTTTGTTCCCCACCCACTTATATGGCAAAGGTAAAGATATGCTGGGTTGGGAAGGAATGTAGGAAGACAAGCTTGTTGAAAGTTTAACTTTGTCTCCACCTTGGCCATATGACTGTATCTATGACATTTAGAATACACACTTGCTTATTTCAATTATTCCTCTGGTAGGAATTTACCCTTCTGAACTCAAACGTGTGTGATGGGTGGCCAAAGTCTGGAAACAGCCCATGGACAGGGGGCTGGCTAAGGTAGCTGTAGGCAGGTCAGCGCTGTACGTACTGATGTGAAAAGAGCCTGGAGATAGACCAGAGAGAAAGGCCAGAGCAAAGGGTAGACCGACAGTGTGAAAGCCTTAAAAGCCCAAACTTTGGAGCCAGTTCTGACCCCTACATAGTTTGCAAACCACAGTTTGCTAAGTAAGATGGGGGTGTTGCAGGCATGTGTAAGGGGCCAGCAGCACTTCAGGGGGTCACTTCCCCTTCTGGAGGGTACCCCCACTACCAAATAAGGATGAGTAAATTAACATTGGATGGGTCTTTGTTCCACAGACATGTATTAAGCAGCTACTGTGTGCTGTGCCCTGCACGGGACATTAGGAACAGGGCAGTGAAGACAGATCTGATCTAGTGAGGAGGACCTTGGGCACTAGGCAAGTAGTGGCAAAACAAACAAGAAGAACAAAAGAAGCCGAGTCCACTTACAAAGATAAGTCTGGGGCTGGAGGCATGGCTCAAGTGGTAGAGCCCCTGCCTAGCAAGCACCAAGCCCTGAGTTCAAACTCCACTACTGCCAAAAAACCAAAAAAAGGACAGGAACAAGCGTGGAAGCCTTGGCTTGTACCCTTGCCATATACATTAATCATTACAAAGCTGCAGTGGTGTTGGGTTCCCATGGCTCATGCCTATAATTCCAGCTACTCAGGAGGCAGAGATCAGGAAGATGGAGGTTCAAGCCCAGTTTTAGTTTGTGAGACCCAATCTCGAAAATACCCAACACAAATAAGGGCTGGCGGAGTGGCTCAAGTGGTAGAGCACCTGCCTAGCAAGTGTGAAGTCCTAAGTTCAAATCCCAGTACTGCCACAAAAAAAAAAAATCAAAGCTACATTGTAAAGTTTCTGGTACTGTGGCTTGAGAATCCAGAAACAGATCTGTGTTTATACCGATACATGGCAAACCCTACATGTAGATCAGGGGTGGCAAGTTTTCCCTATTAATGGCCAGATAATAACAACCAGGCAACTCTGCTACTGTAGCAGAGAAGCAGCCATATATGTTATTATACATAGGAATGGGCATGGCTGTGTTCCAATAAAACATTATGTGCAATCAGTGGGCTGCATTTTGCCTGTGGGCTGCAATTTGCACTCTGGCTATGAACGAGCGAGGAGAGGAGACTTGGTGAATGAGGCTGAGAGACATGGTAAAGCCTAGATGGGATCCTTCGATATTCATGACACCTTCCTTCATGAAGATGTTCACTTTCTCATCCCCAGAACCTGGATGTTAGCTTACACCTGGCTACAGGGACCTGGTGGATGGTTAAGGATCTTGTTTTGAGATGGGGGACTCTCATTTTTCAGCCAGGGCCCATGTGATCACCAGGGTCTTTATATGGGAGAAAGGGCAGCAGAGCACAGGAAGCAAAGGTCACAGTGATGACAAGCCTGAAGTTGTGGAATTGGGGTGGCCTCCAGAAATGAGAAGAGGCAAGGAGATGGATCTCTCCTTAATCTCTGGACCAGCTGTGGACCTGCAGACCTCTGCACACCTTTCTTTTAGGCCACTGAGGCTGATTTTGGGCTACTGACTTGTAGAATAAAAAAGAAAATACATTCATGTTGTTTAAAGTCACCACACTCCTAGTGACTTGTTACAGCAACAACAGGAAAGGAATATAGATTGTTACTTCACACCACACACAAAAACAAGTTTCATTTAAGATCTACATTTGAAGAGCAAAATTCAAAATATTTAGTTGGAAATAAAAGAAAATTATCTTAGTAACTAGAACTTTTGGGACAGAGTCTCACTATATAGCCCAGGATGGCCTCAAAATCACAATTCTGCCTCTGCCTCTTGAGTGCTGGGATTACAGCTGTGCACCACCACGCCCAGCTGAAAAAATATCCTTGAGAGACAAAAAAGTACAAATCATAAGTAGAAAGATGGTTAAACTTGACCATAAACAAGTGTAAAGTAAGAGGGTACAGTGGCACGCTATTGTATAGGAGGGGTAAAGAAAGGCTTTGAGGGGAAGGTGGAGCTGAGACTGACAGTTGTGGAGGATGAATGAGAGATGGTTTGTGGGAAGTATCCAGCACGAGGCGTAGAAAGGAGCGGGCCAGTGGAAGTTAGATTAGCAGGCCATGAACTGTGACCTACTCAGGAAGCCCTGGGGAGGACTGGTGGGAGAGGTCAGGGTTCTTCCCTCTTCCAAGCCCCATAGTGCCTTGTATGCAGTTTTATCCTGAGGTGTCCTGGCAGAGCTCTTCCAAAGCAGCCATACCAATAGCAGATGCAAGGACACACAAAGATTTGATCTGATTAAACATATTGATCTGGCCCAACCTTACTTTGCAGACAGAGGAAAGGAGGCCAGGAGAGACATGTCTGTCCACAGCTGAACAATGGGGCATGGGCTGCGTCTCAGTGGATTGCACCTCTTCATGCCCCGATGCCCTGCTGTTCCTTGAACACCTCAGACCCACTCCTGCTTCTGGGCCTTTGCACTTGCTTTCCCTCTGCCTGGAAGGGCTCTCCCAAGTTCTCCCGTCCATTGCCAGTCCCTGCAGAGGGGTGAGTCCTGAGAGGCCTTCTTTGATCGCCCTCTCTAAACCATGCCAGCCCCGCCCTGTTACTCTGTTTATTTTCTTCTCACTGCATTTCCCACTGTCTGATGCTGCACCATGCACTCGCTACCTCTCCCTGGCCTAGCACACCAGCCCCATGAGGCCAGGGACCAGTGTCTTTTTACACACTGTGTCCCCAGTATCTCACACATGGTGGGCATCCTTCCCAAGGATGTTCACATCCTAACCCCTGGAACCTGTGAATGCTGTGTGACAAAGGAGAATTAAGGTAGAAGGACTTACGACTGTTAGTTAGCTGGTCTTAAAACACAGAGATTATCCTTGGTGACCAAGGTGGGATCTGTGTAAGCACAGGTCTTTAAATATGGAAGAGGCAGGTGGCAGAATGGCTCAAGTAGTAGAGCACGTGCCTCGTAAGTATGAGGCCCTGAGTTCAAACCCCAGTGCTGCCGTAAATAAATAAATAGTATGGAAGAGGCAGTGTCACAGAGATGCAACATGAGAAACTCATGGGCCATTACTGGCTTGGAACATGGCGGGGCATGGAATGTGGGTGGAAAAAACAAGCCAGCAGACTGGCCTGAGAACCTCCAGAGACCACAGCTCTGCCTACACCCTGAATTTTGCACAGAAGCCCATTCTGGACTTCAAACCTGCAGACCTGTTAGCTGATGAATTTGTCATTTGAAGGCACCAAGTGTGTTGCCATCTGGTACAGCCTAGGAAATGAACAGTGAGCGATCAGGCCAACTGAATGAATGAACAAAGGAGTGAGTGAAGCAGTGCAATGCCAGGTTCATCTTAGTGAGAGAAAAACAAGGTCCAGAACAGGAAAGGGGTGAGGCTGGCACCTTTGAGTGGCTGATGAGGACAAAGTTATTTCCTAACTTGGCTGCTACCCAAAGGTCAGATTTCAGTGTTGATTCTTCAGTGGCCTTCACCCGGCTCAAACACCTCTCCTGCTTCCCCACCCTTACAATGAAGACCAAACTCTTGAGCCTGGAGTTCACAGCCTTCCAGGGCAGCCCTGTGCAAAAGGTCTTTCCACAGTGATGGGGGTGTTTTCTATTCGCACTGTCAACAGCAGCCATTTTTTTGTAACCTAATTAAGATTGCCACCTGTGTCTAGCAGTGACCACATTGGACAGCACCACCTCAAGGCTCCAGGGATTTGGGAGGGCAGATATGATGCCCTTCCTCCCCTTCTGCCTGAGTTTGCTAGATGTAAAACCATGCTGGCAACACAAGTTACTTCTGAAAGCCCTGCAGAAAGGTACTATTCTGGTCTGGGGGAGGAAACCCAGGCTCCAGGAGAATGGCACAGCTCATAAACATTCAGGCCTGCAGCCCATGACCCACACAGGGACACTGTGACTGCTCAGAGGCTAGATCCACTTGAGGGGCCACATAGAGTGGCAGGGTCCCAATTCCCTGCACAGGGCTACAGGGGCAGGGAGAAAAGGCCAAGCCCCTCCCTTCCTGATCTCTGAGAGATCTGCATTCATACCGGACCCCAGTGGACTCTAGGACAGGGACCCTAAGGCAGCCTGGGGCCCTCGGAGGGAAAGTAGACCAAGATGATTCCCAAGCTGGGAGCCTCTCGCAGTTTATGGAGACGCCAAGTGAGATGGTCTCCAAACCAAGTCACCTTTATTAAACGTGTGTGTATGCGTGTGAGTGTGTGCACATGTGTGCATGCAAGGAGCACACTCAGGCCTGGGGCACCACCCCGTACAGCTGGTGAGGAAGTAATCTCTGCTTCTCGTTGCAACTGTAGATCCATCGGGGCCGGACGAACGCCAGGGAGGGGTTGTCCACCAGGGCCTGGGGGGGTCCACATGGGCATGTGTAATCAAGGAACGGAGGGCATGTGAAGGCAGATTGGGGTCCCCCATCTCTGCCCCTCCAGGCTCACCTCCTCGAAGCTGGGATCCCACTCCTGTGCTGTGATCACAAATTGGACTCGGTCACTCATGTAGTCCTCGAGTTCCCTGGCAGCCAAGGAGAAAAGAAGTGGAGGGCATATCAGAGACTTGGAGGCCCCTCTCAATACTGTGCTCCCTAACCTTTCTCAAAGACTCTGACCTCCCTCCAGCCC